ATAGACTAACCAGAAATGGGAGACTTCCAAGACAGTCCCATTTCATTAATGATAAGCTCAGTGGGGAAATGAATTCCTGTCCTTCCCTCCTTCTCCTCCAGCTATGCAAAATTTCCACTTTAGATGTCAAGCAAGAGATTAAATATAATAAAAATCTAAAAGACAATGTATGCTTTAGGAGTACACATTGCTTCTTTATTCCAAATGTCTAGACCAGCCCATGTTTTGGGAACCTTGCCCATAATAAAATGGGTGATCTGTCCTCATCTTGCAATGACTGGCCAGCCCCATGAGCTTCCTCAAGGAGGACAGGGCATTCCAGTGAGTCAGAGCCTGATCCCAGTCTCACAGGGATTCCATATAATGCAGGATTTGCAAACAGTTATAATGCTGAGCACTTATACTAAACAAACAATAGGAACTAAAAAAATCCCAAAACAAATTAAAAAACCAGAGACAAAGACTGAGAAGATGTGCAATTGAAAAGGGAAGCCAGGGAGATGCTTTCATAAACAACTGTAACCAAAAGGAGCTATTGTAATATAGCAAGGCTGCAGCACACAGCTTGTTGTATATTTTAATCTATTATGAAAAGACATTCCCACAAAAGCTCTTTCCTTATCAGACCCCTGGTAAGATTCCCAGTCTTACAGAAATGACAGCTGAAACCAGGGATGTTTTAATATTAATTCTTCTAGCGCTGCCATGCCACACTAAAATACAGGGAAAAGAGGAGAAAGGCAGAGGAAGTACTCTCACTTAGCACAGTCATCTACCTTGTTTGGCCACTTTACCAAAAGATACCAGTGCTCAGCCTACAGAAAATCAGATGGCTGCTTTCAAGGCAGATTCAGGACAACATACTAAATCCACACACATAAATGCACATGTGTGAAATAAAACAAACACCAAAAAATCTGCATTTAAACTTACATAAACAGCAATTTCAGCTTATAAAATATATCTACATGAATTATTTCCACCAAGCTCTTCTCAAACAAATTGAGGATATCTGGTTACTAGAACTTCACCAAAGGCCTGTTTCTTGAGCTGCTCTTCCTATGTAGCCCATACAGACTTTGTCACAGGGCTACAGTGGAACAGAACCAGTCACCTGACAGACTGGATATAATTTAACATAAACACAATACAGAGCAACCAAACTTATTAGCACAAGTCAGCAAAGAGTAACTTTCTCAAATGAGCAACCTACATGCAAGTAACATAACTGACTGGTAAAAATTCAAATTCACACTACCTTTTGCAATATTAATACTACTCCATGAGACCTTTTCCTTAAGGAGTGAGCTCTCTCACATTTATGAAACAGCAAGACACAACTGAAACTCAGAGAGAGCCTCAGAATTCAGAGGTCAGCCCCTCTGCTTGCTAGGAAGCTAAACTAAACCTGGATCAATCTATTTATAAAACTCATAGATGGTAAGAATTTTCTCTCTCCTTCCCTCAACACTGTTAAGAATGGCTACAGGTTTTTCTATTTTTTAAATTAAAAAATTACAATGCTCCATCCCACAAAACTTTTCCTTACCACATACCGTTTTACTTCCCTTGCACCTTAGTGTCCATCATTACCTACCAGTCACAGTGATCACCCTTGCACATCAATGACAAGCTCTTAAGAACAAAACCAAAACCCTATCAGTCCAGAGTAATGGATGGAGAAGGGCAGAAAGGGAAAGAGGACAGCTGTAAAGTGCTTCCCTCTGCCATCCACCCAGGTCTCTGACTGGAAACAGCATCAGGACACTTGGGAATTTCGCTCCTCCATTCTCCATGAAGATGCATTACAGATTACAAAATTCTGCCCAAGAAAACAGTGTCTATTTCATAACTCTGTTAATTTCATGGGAAGATGCTCACATTTCTTGCAACATAATACACCTAGAAGCAGCACTGCTTTGAAATCTATTTGCTGAAGTTCTAAACAGTAAATTTCATGAAGAATTAAGTTTTGTCAGGTGGAAGCCAAGGCACATACATCCAATAAGGTTTTAAAACCTTATACTATTTGACATTTTAAAGCTAATTTTAAAAAAACTTTATAAAAGATTACAAAGTCACTCTCCTAAATAGAGAGTGACCATTCACATTTTTTTCAATTAGTGAAAAAGTATTCAAGTTAATAAAGCAATACCCATTTTACTCCTTCAGAGCATTTGGCCCAGAACATTTAACAATAAACAAACACTCTGTCAGTGCCATGGTACAAGAGGACATAAGGTAACCCAATTCTAGATCATTCTGAAGAGATTACAGCTCTTTGAAAAAGGGAGAAGGAGGCAAAAGGGAGGTTATGTTTTTGTTTCATACTTAAAACATTACCTCCCGATTACCTCCCTTGTTAATCAAAAACATGCTGTACATTCTTTCATCTTAGAAAGTAACCATTAAAACAGACCTATCTAGCTCTTTAAAAAAAATAAAAAGTGAGGTAATAAGTTGTGAATCAAAGTGTTCCCTTCCAAATAAAACATCTGCAGGGGGAAAAATAGCTAAATAGAACTGCAGATAGGTAATCAAATGCCCTAGTTCAACAGGGAGTAACAACTATGTGCCCAGAGATTGAGATTTGTCCTTGCAGCATTTAATCCTGCTCACATTGTGCAATTCATCTCGGCACGGTCAGAGCAACCACAGCTCTACTCCCACCAGATGGAAAATTCCACTCGAGCTGAAGAGAAACTCTTCAAAAGCCCAACTTGAATTCCTTCTGCTCAACCCAGTTTTGTTCACAGAACTGCTTGCCTGCAAGCAATATTCTGTTCGTCTTGTCAGTGCAACAAGTGAATGTTGCTTCCCTGCAGGCTCAGCCCTGGAATGGGTATTAGGACCTCATATGGGTCACACTCACCTTTCCTGTCTCCTCACCACATGGCTGCATCCCTCCCTGACACTGGTACACCATCCTCAACAAAAATCTCATGGTGAGGCACGGTATGGCATGGCAATTACCTGCTATCATTGCTTTGGACTACCATGTAGTTATATGTATATGCAGATGCTATAGAACACAACATTGCACTGAGAAATTCAAAGAAACAGTTTATATACACAATTTAATGAACTGGTACACAGGGCCCTTGGCACCAGACCTTCTCTTTGATCCTCTCTAATAGGCTACTTCATTACCACCTTCTGAAGAACAACCAAAGGAATAGGAAACAATTTTACTTTTGTTCATTTGCTACAACATAATGAAAAATAGAAAGGGAAATAAAAGATAGCAGCTTATTTGTTTTACCAAGATAAATCAAATACCATCACAATGAACCAAAAACACTCACAGCATCCAAAGAACAAGGGTGTAAGAACTGCAGACAGAAATACAGCCAGTAACAGCACACTGAGCTACATCATACATACATTTACCTCTGCAGAATCCTTGGAATGGTCCCCGGGCAACCATAAAAATTTCAATACTTTGCTAAGTAACAAGACAGAAAAGGCTCATCTGTACACCCACCTACAACTTTTTGTCACAAATACATAGTAATTTTATGCTACTTTTACACCTGCATCCCCAGCATTTACTACCAAAATCAATGGAAAGGAAATCCAGAATACAGCATCTTTACCTGCCACATCATCCCTCTTTAGGAACATTTAAAGGAAAGTAGGTCCAACAGTACTCGTCTCTTAAATGTTCCAGGTTCTTAGCTTAAAGATTTTATTAGGATTCTCCCCCCACATCTTCTGAATGAATTTAAATAACCTCAAAACAATAAGCGGGATAACTGTGAAAAAGTTATTTGGCTGGCGTATGTACCTTGCAAAAGGTAGTGGTCATAACAGAAACAAAGACAAAGCTAAAAAGTTGTAACCAAAAGCTTATCAAAAGTTAATCTACTAGCAATAACCAAAATTATGCTGAGAGATTGCATTAAAAAAAAAACACAAACAAGCATTCTCCAGTGCATTAATAAAGGCATCAAAACAGAGCCAATTACTGATGTAACAAATAATCTTAAACGTTTCCCAAAAAAGCATTTAGGATTCAGATACAGCAGAAAGCCAAACACATTTTATTGTTAAATACAATGTATTTCAAAACTGCTACTACAGCTTTTTTACTTTCAGAAAAAAAGGTAATTAGCATTTATTCTTGAAAATTCATTAAAAAAATCATAAAAGGCAAGAGATACATCACATCTGCTGTGAAAAAGAAGCAGACAGAGATGCTATTTTCTGTCCAAAAGTAGTTAAAAAATTGAAATATCTTATGATAACAACCTTGTCTTGTTTCACTACTAGATGAGCAAGATTAAGCATGGAAGTTTCTCACCCTACTGCACTGAAGCTTTCACACAGTTAGCAGGACTTGTTCTCCAATACTGGCGATGCTCATTTCTCCCTACCCACCACAGCTCTGACTCCCTCATGAGGCTCCTAACCCCAAACAGGAGTCATACAGAGTAGCAAAATGTCTGCTGAATATCTTCTTGTAACCAATATATAAGTGAAAGTTACACTGTATAAATATTTCAAAAGTCATCTTAGAAACACATTAGATAAAGGACAGATCCATATCTTTAGCTATCTAAGTGTATTGATGGGTGGATATGGAAAGAGATACATACACACATCTACAAATCTATATATTAGATACCACATTTATGTGTTGCAAACAATCATTCTGCAGGACTGAAAAAACCCATCAGAACCTTGTATAGCAAATCTTGCACTGCTAAAATCTGTCAAACTCATCAGTTTTAATCTTCCCTCTCAAGGGCAGCAGTGATGCCATTCCGCATTTGCAGATGAAGATTTTCAAACAAATCATACAATGACTTACATAAGTTAATATTCTTTCTAATTCTCCAAAACAATAGTAATACAGGAAAGTACAACCAATGAATACCAATTTTTCCTTTAAGGACTAAAACTGAAGAGAAATTTAAAAAAGGCATTTTATTTAAAAAATCCCGAAGATTAAAGAAAGAACTCCCATCACATAAGAAACCACTACAAAATCACCTTACCTTATAATAAAGGGGACAAAAGGTGCTATGCTGAGAGTTGAGTGAGAGCCATCCATTGGAGAGGGATACAGTCTTCCCAGGATTAAGAGCAAAAGAAACAGGCTTGGATGGATTTTCAACTCTTCAGTTTCACTAAATGAAAATATGTAAGAAGCATTTGGTGAAAAAAAACCATCCTCCTTCACGCTAGACTTGAGCCTCTTTCCCACAAAAGGGGCTTCTGCATCTCTGGTTCAAGGAGTTATCCTAGGCTGATCATTGCATGGGAGTGCAAACCCTGCTGGGATCAAACATGGCATCCAGTTCTTCTGCAGGGGACCTCTCTAATGAAGACACTCATGGCTGTACTGCCCTCACTTTCCCACATTATTCCAAGCCTCCTTTATTCCCAAATGTGGTGAGCTGCCTTCATTTTTAAAGAATATTAAAAACCTGCAGATAAGGTTTTTCTATGAACTGGGAAACAAAGATCTGAGTTACAAAAAGGTGGTTTGAAAAAAGTACTTCAATCAGTTTGAAAGGAAATGTGGGTTTAGTAAATAACATGTTTTACTAAAGAATAGTTCTTGTCATTGACACCAAGTGTCTACTCTTCATACAGTAAAAATAATCAGAAAACCAAGTTAAAATCAATACTTTTTGATCTATTTAACACCTAATAATAAGATACAAGTCTTAATACAAGTTGAAAAAGCATTCATGACCAACCAACATTTCAGACAGCAGTTTTCAATCTTTTTCAACTCAAAAACTTCCCAAAATTTGCAGTGATGACACTGTCACCTTTTGTAACGTCAGGTAGAGTGGATTGCTGTACAGAAAATACACAAGCTCTTTTCCTAGAGCAGAGACTGCAAAACATGGAATGACTGGTGAAACTCCTGCTTCCTAGGCCCATTAAACAGTCAGCTGAACCTCACCCATAAATCAGCTGCTCAATTTCCACAGTTTATATCATAGCATTTCAAGAAAAAACAAAGCCAGCACTGGTTTACTTTACAAGTTCGTGAACCTGGAGGTAACAGCGTCATCCCAAATGGTATCATCTGCATTGATCAAATTGTAGCTCTCAGCCACCATTTGTGGAGTCTTAAAACAAGATCAAGGACCTTCCCCAGAGTCAGTGTGCTACAGGCTGGAAAGTGTTCATGTGGTGTTACTTGAGGCCTATGACCCCATATCACTTAAACATGCTGGGAAGCATCATTGTTAAATGTGAGACACTCAAATACCCGGGCTGTGTTTCCCTGAAAAACAGAAGTTCCTTAACATCTGATCCTAAGAACACAGAAACTCGTAATTAGTCAACAGTAGTTCAATCTTCAGAGACTTAATGCAATGTGCCAAAGTTAAAAGCAAAAAGCCTTAGCAAAAACATTAGAACTGTATCATTCCAAGAAGTACTGATGCATACAATGGCACTAGGGTGTGTGTGTGTGACACAAATCAGTTTAACCTTTTCACTTCACTTTGTATCTCAAAGTTTTCTCAGACATCATCTTACCTGTTCAAAGTGCTGGTTACAATCTCTAACTGCTTGAGAAGGAAAGGATAAAGGCTTGGAAACCGAGAGAAAAACTCCCTTCCCGTCATTCTGCAGAAACAAATGAAGAAGAGTCATAATTAACATTCGGCAGTAATTAATTACTCTCAAAATATTAGTTTATTTGTTGTATTTCTGATGCTACAGTGAAGCTGGAGAGGCAGAAGAACCACGCACACACAATGAATTCTCAAAAAAGGCATAATGTTTTCATGAAAAATAGTGATAAGAGTGCAGTTTACACAAGTTAAGTGACTGTCCCTATGTGTGCTCACTGACGCTTTTTCAGCTGAATTGGGAAAAGGGGATCTTAGATCCTTAATCACATCAAAAAGAAAAAGATACAACAGTTTAAATTCTGACAGTATTTTAACAATATTCTGGTTGAACAAGAGAAGATGACACTTGCTTCAGCATGGCTCATGTCCTAAATAGCTAACAGAATACACTTAGTAGACATGTACTAACAGATAACTCGATGATACTAAAAAGCACCTCATAGAAGTAATTCCTGGAAGATTTGTAAAATGCAGTGTCAGAAGAGTCTGAGCTTCCATTAGCCCTCTTTCCACAGTGCTACTTCCAGCACATGGCATTAGTGACACTGCAGGCCACTCTTCTGCTTCCTTAGATGGAGCAAGCATGTTCAAAACAGAGCAACCTACAAACACCCCAGGAACTCATCCCTAGCCAGAACCACTAAGGTGGCACAGTAAAGCTGCAACAACAGCAAACCAATCCAAGCTAAAAAGATATAAGTAAGAATCTTCTGTATTTGTTTTACAATCTTTTCATCAGATGGCTTCATGGTTTATATGAAACCACTCCAAGCAAGAACCACTTGAATGTTACTGTGGGGGAAGCTCTAATTAGACATAGATGGTATGCAGATTAAAAAGACTTCCTTTAAAAATAAATAAATGAAAGGCCATCATTTAGAAAAACAAAGCCAACTGCAGAGTTTGCTTGCCACAAGATCAACCAAGATAAATGTTCCATGTTAGCATGACTCCAATGCAAAGCTTCCAATAAGCAGACAGATCCAGGTTTGGAAAAATAACACAATGAGATGGCAAGACTGAATGTGCATAAAAATAAGCAGACAAAAAAAAAAATCATGCACGAGTAAACGAGCACATGGCAAACATCAGCACAGCTCCTTCCAGCACTCAGCTAACATAACATGCCTTAGCCACAGGCCACAGAATAAACACAGCAAAACCAGACTGTTAGGTGGAAACAAATGTTCAAAGAGGGACAGGAAACTTTCCCAAGGCACTTAAGAAAAATTCTGTGAATACATATACAATATAGTGAACTGCTAGAATTAAAAGCAAGGAAATCTGCAGTAGCTGTTACAGCTACAAAGAAGATTTCAGATTATATTAATTCAGTTTTAGTGTTTCCATGTAATTTTTTTAATTGAAGTGTTAATGAGAACAGTTTAAAGACATCAATATTGATAATAACTGGTTATTTAAGCAGAAGACACCCATGCAATTTTTTCTAACAGTGTCCTCAAAACTACTTCAATTTTTTTGCACATAAAGTATGTAGCAAACTGAAGATGCAAAGCCAGAGACAGCACAAAACCTAAGATCTATCAGGTCAAACAGCCCATCCTACTGAATTTCCCTATGTAAAACATTAAGAACTCAGTATTTAAAAAGAAAAGGTTCTACCCAAAAATGTTGTGACCTCTTCATCTCTTGTGCTACAGAGTGCAAAAAGCAAAAGCAGAATTTGGGTCAAGTTTCCTATGGAATGGATGGCCACTGCTGAAATATTTAAGAGAAGACTACATCCAAGTAGCACCTCACAAGTACTTTTAACGAGGTTCATTTTTAACGCATTAAAAATTCAGCAGCCACATTTGAATCAATATTAAATAATGGAACTGAATATCTTGACAAAGCCTCAAAATTCTTTGCAATTAGCATGGTTTCATAAATCTTTTTGACAGGAAAAGAAAATTGTAACTACTGAAGTGGGTAACTTACATAACCTACATAATCTCCTACTTGTTTTACTGCTCCAGAGTTTATTGATAGGAGAAGGCAGCCTAATCAAAACCACTGACAGGCAGTATCTGCAGAGAAGATGTCCACAGGCATTTTCAGAAAAAAGGAGACACAACTGTCTGAGGAGACTGTTAAAGGGCCTCCAGTTCAGAGGGGAAACAAGAACCACTACACATTATCAGAAGTGCTAAAAAATTAAAAGCGTGCTCAAAATACAAGGCATTAATGTAAGTGTGAATGCACTGCTTGGGGATGTCAAGGCAAGGAGATGCACAACTGGGAATAAGCAGGAAGCGAAACAGCTAGACAGTATGGAACACAGGAATTCAGTTGTTTCACTTTGTAATGCTGACCATGCTTTTTGCTCCTGGAAACATGTACACACAACTATTTGTGTAATGTAATTGAGACTGGAACAACAAAAATATAATGGTTGTGCTCTTCAAAACTGCTCACGACACTAAGCCACATATTTTATATTAATTTCAACAAAATACTCCTTTAAAAAACAAAAACATGAGATATATCCCATGAATCTATCACTTGCATGCATGCATGTACATGTGCACACAATGTGAGTTAGGGATAGCTTATTCCCTGTGAACCTATCTTTAAAAGAAGACAAATCCCTGACACAGCTATAAAAGAACATATCAAGTAAACGTGGACTAAAACAACCCAGAAGCCACTGCCAACAGTCTTCATGAAACAAACTTGTTCTTCCTACTCTATGACAGATCTGACAGGGAACAGTAAGTTGAAATTAAAAATACAGATAACTACCTTCCCATTAGTCACTGCCATAGTTCAAACACAGATTTTTGGCAACAGAGCTACCATAATTAAAATCTTAAACCAAACATCCTGCAGATCACAAGATTTTACATCTACTCCCCCTAGAATGTGTTTATAAGAGAAGTAACTGAGAAGAGCCTCAAGATACTACTATTTTACCCCATGTCCAGCTGGAACTATTTTTATATTGCTTCAGAGATCATCTTCAACAGTATGTTCAACCACAGACTCAATAATAGTATTTTCTTTTTTCCTTTTAGTAACTCTAAGAAGCACAATTTCACAATCCAGAATTTCAAACAGGATTGCTGAGACCCAAACAATGAACTAGTGGAAGGTTATGTACTGAGAGAGGAAGTAGAGTAGTGAAACAGGAAAGTTATCAATGGGTTGATCATGCTAACAATAAAATCCCTCTTCCCAAATGTAAAATGTCATTCAAGTACACAATTAAAATGATGTTTAATGTAGAAAGGCTGAGAGAGAAACTAATGGAAACACTTACATCCCACTAAATTCACTTCCAAAAATAATTTGAATAACTATACATGCAGGACACTGCAGTACTTCAGAAGATGCAGTATTTACCTCTCACAGAGTTTCCAGTTTACAATATAATGTTTTTTCATGCAAGCAATTCTGCTCAAAAGCCAGATGACAGAGTACAACCCATTCACAAAAGATTTCATTTTGATGGCTAGAGACAGCAGTCATGGTTTAGCACTCAGAAGATTATTTATGTAGACAGACATACAATAGTTTCTTTGCCATTTTCATTCAGTTCTCCCCACCTGAAAAGATGTTCCATTAACAAGAAACAGTTATACAGAAGTTTCTTCTGTATCATGTCACACAGAATCAGGCTACACCCACCACTCCTAACACTTGTCTGTGTGCCCTTGAGTCAAACTCTTCCTCTTCAATAGATTCTGGAGCAGGCAAAACTGGGGGGGAAGAAAAAACTTTCACCAAATATAGATGTCCATCAACTGGCAAAAAGTTACTTTGAAGGCACGTGATGATAGGAAGGACAGAATTTAACAGCTAGCAATAAGCACTTGGAAAACAACTGAATCACAGCTAAGTTACAGAAAACCAACTAGTGCTAGGGGTAAAAATTAAAAAAAAAAAAGGAAACTCAAAGCAGACTGTAAGTCTGTAAGACTTCAAGGGAAAGTATGGTTTAAGCATGATACACAGTTTAGAGTGTTGATAACGCTTTTTCAGAAAATATGCAAAAACTGGTTCTACTTTCTCTGAAATAACCCAACTCAGAAGCCCTTATTATACTCTTGAGTGACAGCAGTTCTTCCATTCATTTAGCACTGGTTCTTTGGCTTTATCACTTTTCAGAACAGAACCTCGAGTGGCTTAAATTAAGCCAAAATCACGAGTTTTCAAGTTTTCATGTCATGTGCTCGTGGAGATGTCAATAACATCTAACTTCTAGAACCAATTCATAAATGCTTCTAAAAACTGACATCTCCAGAGATTAAACATTGTGTTTGTTTCAGTAGCAACTTGATGCTACACAACTCCAGCATCTATGTTCATTCAATTAATGTCTTTCTTACAAAATATTCCACCTTTATACATAACAAGTGGGTGGACTGTTTAACTGCATTTTAAAAATACATTTAAGAATAAAACTAGGGATGTTGCAGTGTTCTTTTTAAAACTGTGCTGTACACTTAAGAGAACACTCCAGGAGATTAAAATTCTGCTGTGACACTGGGGCATACATATCATTTTACTGTGACGTGTCAGAGATTACCTGCTTCTGTTCTTTCATTGACTTTTCAGAAGAATGAAGCTTTCTAACCTTGTGGGCTGTTTTTAGTAACTGACACGTAAAAGAACATCTGCAGCAAACATGTTCATATTTGAGTATAGCACAGGTGAGATTTAGAGACAATCTTCTGAGGGCAGCAAAGGTTTCTGGTGTTCTTTTTGAAACACAAATATTGCTAACATCTCATGTCAGCTGACAAATACATGGTCATATTTTACAGGGGAAAAAATACTACATTTAAAAATAAAAAATACAACTGGAATGTGAACAAAATATAGACAAGGCACACTTGGATCAGGACCAAGAATTTAGTTTTGATGAAATTACAGAAATACTTTTAGTTGTCTCCTGTGAAACCTACTTGTGTTGCAACAATCCTTACACTGAATCATTAATCCCATATCAGATGATCCTTTATGTTAAAGAGCAGTAGTGCAGAAACA